CAGAAATCTTTTCCACATGTACTCCAAGGTATATAGTTCTTTCCTATAGAGATGTTGCTTTTGTAAAGTTTCTATTAAACTTTCATCTACACTTATGTCAGGCAATGATATACATTCTATGTGTGCAATACCATACATTCATGTATTCTTTTTTTTTTTATTTAAAGGATGTGAGGTACAATTCAGGATTAGGTATACAAGTGGTCATCATATGGGTAAAGTTTGGGCCTCCCTTTGGTCCCCACTTTCCCCAGTTTCAGATCAGGTGCCCTTGTTGATGTTGTGCTCCACCCCCACCTCCACTGCAGCAGTATCCCGCTACTGCCAATCGCTTTCTTATAGTATTATGGTAAATGTTCAGGGTCCACTTATGAGTGAGAACATGTGGTAATCAGTTCTTTGTTTCTGTGATTCTGAGTATGATAGACTCTAAACCCACCCATGTTGCTGCAAAGTTCAAATGTTTGTCCTTCTTTATGGCTGTGTAATTTTCCATTGTGTATATTTACCACATTTTTTTTTAGCCAGTCCAGTTCTGATGGGCAGCATGGTTGGTTCCATGTTTTTGCTATTGTGAGCAGTGCTGCAATAAACATGTGTGTGCAGGTATCTTTTTTGTAGAATGACTTGAGTTCCTCCAGGTATATTTCCAGTAGGGGGATTGCTGGGTCATATGGAAGGTCAATTTCTAGTTCTTTTAGAAATTGGCACATTGATTTCCAAAGAAGTTGCACCAGTTTGCTTCCCATTAGCAGTGTAGAAACATTCCTTTTTCCCCACATCATTGCCAGCATCTGTTGTTCTTTGTTTTATTAATGATGACCTAGAGTTTGATGATATCTCAATATGATTTTGATTTGCATTTCTCTGATGATTTGTGAGGCTGAGCACTTTTTCATGTGTTCAATGGCTACCTGTATATCTTCTTTTGAGATGTGTCTATCTTTGTCTTTTGCCCACTTTTTAATGGTTCTGTTTGTCCATATATTCTTGATTCATTAATAACTCTCTTACGTCTCTACAATTCTTCCATACTTTATCTGTTAAGCTATTATCTAAGGGTGGCCATTTTCTATGTCTATTTCATAATGATTGTCAATTCCTATGCCTATATGACATCTAAATTCAACTTATTTTCTAATGCTAACACATCTATTCTTCTTAAACCTTTTATTAGTGCCATATGTTTTACCAACACTTTAAAAAATCTCTGTACAGGATTTAGGCATCTTGCTTTCAAGTCGGACTTATTTCTCTTATCACAAATTTCTTAGTGATCATACCTGATTATTCTTTTTTCCTCATGTTATTATTTTAGTTATTAAATCTCCAGTGTGAATTGGTTCATGAAATACAGACAAACTTTCTTTTTGTTCTTTTATTATTCAGTCCAAAGAGCACTATTCCAGGGATTAAGAAGGGATTAAGAAGCATAGAATTACGCACCACTCTCATGGAGATATGCTCAGATAAATAAAAGCTACATAAAATAAATCCTGGGAGGGCAAAGACAAGGACAACGATTCATTCCTAATACAGTGAACACCAAACACACACACACACACACACACACACACACACACACACACACACACACAACTGAATCAGCTTGAGGCTATTTCTAAATTCTGGGTTTTATAATTTTTAAACTATCCACATTCACACTGTTGCCAATGTTAAAATCAGAAACATAAAAGAAATTACAATCTTATTTTATGGACAGTTGGATAGACTAATTTATTATAATAGAAATATTTACCACATAGCAGGAATGGTGCTTGCTACACAAATCCCTTTTGAGAGCTAACGGAGGAGAAGATTTTTCCAGTTGGCAAGTCCACATCAAAAGGTAGGGCCAAACAGTGGCCGAAGAGCAATTTGAGTGGCTACTTTTGGGAGTTCACAAGATGGGGGAATGATGAAGGAGCTAGTATGGGACTAAGAAATAGCCCAGGTGTTTCTTAACTTCTTTAGGCACTTATATCTGGCTCTTAATACCAGTTTCTAGATGTCCCTTACTGGACCAGACTGCCATTACCAGAGGTTTTAAGTTGATGGAGTCCCTAATTCCAGTGCCTGGTAGTCTATGAAAATAGATCTGCTAGGGAAACATTCACAGTCTATGGTTATGCACACATATCTTCCAGAAACTCTAACCTAGAATGTTGCATTTCCCCCAAGGAGCCAGCAGTCAGATACTGGGTTATCACCATCCTAGTACTAACAATAAGGCACATAATGGGCAAAATAGGCTTTGGTGCACTTAGCCACTGTTTGCAACACCATTTCTGGAAAAAGTAGATAATTCTAAACAGCCAATTAATGTCATATCATACAATCCATTTCTAAACTGGAGATAGCTTGTGTAACCTTCCCATTGCATATACAGCAACTTGTCATATGAATAAAATGATAAATACAGAGAAGTAACTTAAGTCAAAAAATACTGGCAAATACCATCTCAATTAGGTAATCAAGGTTAGTATCAGTGACCATTCATGCTGACAACAGCACATACTCCATACTCCTGACAGGATGAGAATGACATTTACTGATGTATAATCTTCCTGCTAAGAACTTAGTGACATTAGACTATTTTTAAAAAAATGTATTAGACAAATCACAACTGAGAGACATTTTACAAAATACTTGACAAGAACTCCTCAAATTATTAAGATAATCAAAAACATGCAAGGTCAGAGAAATTGCCACACACCAATGGAGGTTAAGGAGACATGACAGTTAAACGCAATATGGTACCCTCCATGAAACTGTAGGGGTGTAAAGGATGTGATGCCTTTCCTCCTTTATGAGAGACAGTCATAACAAAAAAATGAAGAGAGAAAAACAGCAAGTTTGATCGGTTTTATGTGACATGGGAGACTTCCAACTGAATACTCAAAGACCTATATAGTGAACTATGGTGTAAAGCATGAATGACTGGGCAGAAAAATGACTGGACAAAAATAGTATGGGCAGCCAGGCTTGGTGGCTCAGCCTGTAATCCTGCGCCTTTGGGAGGCTGAGGTGAGTGGATTGCCTGAGCCTGCAGGTTCGAGACCTGCCTGGGCAGGCAAGACTTCATCTCTACAATAAATCAAAAATTAGCCAGGCGTGGTAGCGCGTGCCTGTAGTTCCAGCAACTCAGAAGGCTGAGGCGGAAGGAACTCCGGAGCCCAGCAGGTCGAGGCTGCAGTGGCTGGGAGTCTGGGTGACAGTGAGACTCCAACTCAAAAAAAAAAAAAAATGGGCTAATAGCAGTAGACTTAAGGGCATGTGGAATGCCAGCAATGCCTGTCTGTTCAGACTGTTCTTGGCCTGTTTACCATTTCTTCCTTCCAGGTATAGGGCAGGATCTTCTCTGGAATGGAGTTCTTATGACCTACAATCATACAAGTTTGGATAGAGAATTTCTTTATGGTCAGTTCTTAAACAGAAAGGCAGGTAAGAGTTAAGAGTAGCCTTTCCAGGTTTTTATGACTGGCGTTGGGGAACAGTGGTCCTGGTGTTTACCACCACCTTGGAGAAGAGGTATCCTTGTTTCTATGTTTTGTTTTGGGGGAAAGTGAGGATGAGGAACAGAAGGGTGGAGAAGGTCACTTTGGGTATCATTTTCTAAGCCTCAATAGGAAGAAGAGGACCATAAAAGAACATTAGGGAAATATTGGTGGAATTTTTAAAAACATGGTTAATAATGGATGAATGTTAGTTATGAAGAAGGTTCCACAGTAATGTTAATGGGGACACTGGGGGGGAGTACAGAGAAACTATTATTGTAACTTTTCTGTAAATCCATTCCAAAATAAAAATTTTAAGAGTATTCTAGGTTAACTTCCTTTTTATTGATACTTTTCTGAAAATTAAGCATGCGAAAGAGTTTTTCAGCTCTCACTCCCCTTTCAGCACTGAGCAATTAGATCAAGTTGCATCAAGGTGTCAGCGACAAAGAAGGAGAAAACAGATTCCATAGCTGCTGGCACCTTTTGGCAAGAGCAACGATCCAGTCTCTGATATGTCAGCCATGGTAGTATGATACAACCCTCATCCAACGATGGGTTCTTCTGACTTTTATCTTTGGCAGTGATGCCACTAAACTAACCGATAACAACTTAGTGTCAAAGAATTACCTAATTTCCAATTAATGCTAATGATACAATTTTCCTATCATTATCCCTTCATACAATATAAGGGATAGGGACTCGATAAATTTTTCTCAGGGATTCAACTGATTGTCCTCATGCTAAATCTATCAGATCAATTTCAGAGTTGAAATTTTTAGTCATTCTGGTTTTAAATGTGACTGTTTACTCTCTTCTCTGTACTGAGCAAACCATGTAGGCTAAAATGATGGCAGCTTCACCAAGTGTTTTCGTGACTAAGACTGTACTAACTTTTGTTTTACCAAAAGTGAGTCTGCTTTCCAGTATGAGTGCTGTGCTCTTGCCATGAAGTAGCCCTTTTCATTCCAACTCCAAAACCTGCTGTCTTAGCTTGGCAGGATCACCACTAACTTGGAAAGCACAGTGCAAGCAGGCATCACAATGCTGGAAAACAAGATCCTAGGCAAGATGCTGAGGCAGGACATATTCAAGGACTTGAGGAGATGATTTGTTTTATAAACATTCAGTGCAAAATGAATCAGTAGAGCAGGATAAACTTAATGTCCTCTATACCCTTCCCCCCCAAAAGTATGCAAGAATCAATACCACCACCACCACCTCCAGTGTACCTGTGTGCGTGCACGCGCGTACACACACACACACACACACATACACACAAGAAAGCTTGGGAAATCTCAAGGATATTGAAGGTCCTATAAAAACAGGGCAAGACATATTCAGCCATAACAGGGGGACCAAAATCTAACAGCAAGTTAAAGGAAACTAACACAGGGCACAGTTGCCCAGAAAAGAAAGTAGACCAAGAGCAGGTTTGACTCCCATTCAAGTTCACCAGTAATAAGTCATGTTTATAGTCATACAGACTTTCACATCACTCAGTGACTTTTCATAAATATTTATTGGTGTTATCCACAGAAATTAAGCTATTCCTCTATTTAAAAAACTTTATTCTACAGTGAGTTTGTCTATAGGCACTTTCTTATCTTTTTTCTATAAAGTTTTTGATATTACATACAAACAGAAGTTTTTGTGGGTGAAGATTTTATTTTCTTCAATTCTGAAACTGACACACTTCCTCAGGAAAGAAATTTCTAAAAACAAATTTAATATTTGCTACACATCATTTATACAAAATATAAAATTTTACCCTATTTGATGTTTAATGCAATTAATTTTGTTGTGAAGGCTTTTGTGGTTTTCCCTGAAATGTCTCTGACTTTAATGAAGGCTTCTGATCATTCAGGATGTTGACAATTTTCTTCTTCATGTGAAGTCTCTGATATACAATAAAACTGATTCTAATAGTTCTTCTGAAATGTATTTTGTTAATAGGATTTCATCCCAGTCTAATAGAGAGTTAGCAAAACAATACATTTAACTAATAGGTCAAATCTGAGGGCTCAATGGAAAACAAACTTAATTCCTGCTTGAAACAAACAACTGATGAAGATCTGGAAGCAGAAAATTATATTCCAAAGTTATTCTGACTCCAGCTTCCTTTGACCTTGTGCTCTGCCACATTCAACACAAAAGCCAACTTGCTGTGGAAATCATCTCAATCCCATCTTGCCATGGACCAGGAAGACTGTAAGATGTTTAAGGGCCATGACTAAATGTAATAGATATCATTAGCACCATATTCTTTGGTCAGCCCACCTGGATGAATGAGACTGGGATTTTCAACAACCTATGAGCCTAGCGGAAAAGGAAAATGTTAAGGAAAACAATTTTCCAGTCTACATGACAAGAGTTTCTCTGCTGTGTGGTATAAAATAAGGTTATGAGTTAATTCAGGACTTCTCAAATTCATGATGTGCTAGGATTTTCTCTCTGGTATGCATTCTGGTGTGATGTACTCTAAGAGCTGCCATATGAACAAAAATTTTTCCACATTCACCACTTTCATAGGGTTTCTCCCTTCTGTGAATTCTCTGGTGTATTCTGAGAGTTGAATTCTGGGCAAAAGCTTTCATTACACTCATAGGGTTTCTTCCCTGTGTGACTTCTCTGGTGTACATTAAGGTGTGACATCTGGGAGAACGTTTTCACACATTCATTACATTCTTAGGGTTTCTCCCCTGTGTGAACTCTCGGATGTGCACTAATATATGACTTCACAGAGAACGTTTTCCCACATTCATTACATTCACAGGGTTTCTGCCCTGAGTCCTCTGGTGTGCACTAAGGTGTGACTTCCGGGAGAAAGTTTTCCCATATTCATTACATCCATAGGATTTCACACCTGTGTGAATTCTCTGATGCACTCTAAGGGATGAGTTAAGGGCAAATGGTTTCCCACATACATTACATTGATAGGATTTCTCCTCTGTGTGACCTCTCTGATGTGCACTAACATATGCCTTCCTAGAGAAGGTTTTCCCACATTCATTACATTCATAGGGTTTCTCCCCTGTGTGTGTCCTCTGGTGTGCACTAAGGTGTGACTTCTGGGAGAAAGTTTTCCCACATTCATTACATTCATAGGGTTTCTGCCCTGTGTGAGTCCTCTGGTGTTCACTAAGGTGTGACTTCCGGGAGAAAGTTTTCCCACATTCATTACATCCATAGGGTTTCACACCTGTGTGAATTCTCTGATGTACTCTAAGGGATGAGTTAAGGGCAAATGGTTTCCCACATATATTACATTCATAGGGTTTCTCCTCTGTGTGAACTCTCTGATGTGCACTAACACATGACTTGCTAGAGAAAGTTTTCCCACATTCATTACATTCATAGGGTTTCTCCCCTGTGTGAGTCCTCTGGTGTGCACTAAGGTGTGACTTCTGGGAAAAGTTTTCCCACAGTCATCACATCCATAGGATTTCACACCTGTGTGAATTCTCTGATGCACTCTAAGGTTTGAGTTAAGGGCAAATAGATCCCCAAATATATTACATTCATAGGGTTTCTTCCCTGTGTGAGTCCTCTGGTGTGCCCTAAGGTGTGACTTCTGGGAGAAACTTTTCCCACATTCATTACAATCATAGGGTTTCTCCCGTGTGAGTCCTCTGGTGTGGCCAAGTTGTGACTTATGGGATAAAGTTTTCCCACATTCATTACATTCATAGGGTTTCTCCCCTGTGTGAGACCTCTGGTGTGCACTAAGGTGTGACTTCCAGGGGAAAGTTTTCCCACATTCATCACATCCATAGCATTTTACACCTGTGTGAATTCTCTGATGCACTCTAAGGGATGAGTTAAGGGCAAATGGTTTCCTACATATATTACATTCATAGGGTTTCTCTCGTGTGTGCTCTCTCTGGCATGCACTAACATATGACTTCTCAGTGAAAGTTTTCCCACATTCATTACAGTCATAGGGTTCCTCCCCTGTGTGAATTTTCTAATGTGCTTTAAGTGCTGAATTACGGGCAAAAGTTTTCTCACATTCATTACACTCATAAGGTTTCTCCCCTGTGTGAATCCTCTGATGTACTCTGAGGGCTGAATTATGGGTAAAAGTTTTCTCACAGTCACTATATTCATAGGGCTTCCTACCTGTGTGAATTCTCTGATGTGCTCTAAGACCTGAACTGAAGGTAAAAGAATGCCCACATTCATTACATTCATAAGGTTTCTCCCCGTGTGAATTCTCTGATGTGATCTGAGGTTGAATTACACGCAAAAGTTTTCTCACAGTCAGCACATACATAGGGTTTCTCACATGTGTGAATTCTCTGATGTGCCTTTAGGGCTGAATTACAGGTAAAAGATTTTCCACATTCAATACATTCATAGGGTTTCTCTCCTGTGTGGATTCTCTGATGTGCCTTGAGGTGTGTCTTGTGAGAGAAAGTTTTCTCACATTCAATACATTCATAGTGTCTGTCACCTGTATGAATTCTCTGATGTGCTCTGAGATGTGATGACGTGAAGAAAATTTTCCCACATTCAATACATTCATAAGGTTTCTCCTCAGTGTGAATTCTCCAATGTTCTTTGAGACATGCCATCTTGAAGAATGTTGCCCCACATTCACTGCCTTCACAGAGTTTCATCTTTGTTTCTGTTCTCTGATGTCCTATAAGGGGTGACCTGTAAGATTTCCCACAGTCATTGTTACCATAATTTTTCTCCTTTGTGTGAATTCTGACATGTTCACTAAGGTTTGACTTCTGACAGAAAGTTTTCCCACATTCATTACATTCATAAAGTTTCAATCCCATATACGCTCCAGAATACTGAATAGAGTGTGAACTTGTACAAAAGGATTTCCCACATTCTTCATATTGAAGTTTCTCCCTTGAATGGGTCCTCTGATACCGAATGAGGTGTGCTTTCTGTTCTTCTTTACTCATTGTTTTATCATTGTCATCAACGAATATTACTTGACACAGAGTCTTCTTTTGTTTTTCCTGGATCTCTTGTATGTTGCCATCAATTTTATAATATCCTAAAAATTAAAAACATATTATAAATCTTACACTTTTCATGGAGAGGGACTCTTACCCATGTTTTGTTATGTATTTTATTGTATTGTTTCTGGTCATGTTTCCAAAGACGAAAAACGTACAAAGACAGATATTCTTTCTTGTTCCTCATCCATAAATGTTTAAAGAAATAGGTATTATTTTCATCCAAGATGGAGTAGGCCCTTTCCTCCCAGATCTTCCTTGTTACAATTAAAAATCCTTGCAAGAAAAAAAAAAGATGAACAAACATACAAAGACTCTACAAAATAGAAAAATGTGAACCTCAGGACTTAAGAAATGACATAGCAGAGAATTCCAAAGCTTTTCTATCTGCTTCCCATATATCCTAGACAGAGTGCTGAAGAAACCTACACTCTGGAGCCAGCAACAAAAAGAGCTCCAAGAAAAAAAAGTGTTTCTTCTAGCTAAAAATAGTTAAACAGAACTGACATGTTTGACAACATCCACATACTTATGCAAAACAAAAACAGAACGCTTCTGTGGTTCCATGAAGGCTGACCAAGAAGCTAACCTTTCACTGCAAAGGATACAGACTATCTGTGTGCTCATGTAATATTTCCCCCCTTGAACCAAATGGGGAACTCATAGGAAAGATCATAAAGGATCCTGAGAAAGTTTCACTTTCGGGTTATGCTGGAAGATATAACAGGAGCTGCTGCCAAAATTCTGCCTAGAAATATATTCTTATCAGACAGACTTGGTAGCTTAGCCTGTAATCCCAGCACTTTGGGAGGCCGAGGCAAGTGAACTGCATGAGCCTGCAGGTTCGAGACTAAACTGGGCAACTTGGTGAGACCTCGTTCTACAATAAATAAAAAAAATTAGTTGGGAGTGGTAGCGCCTGTACTTTCGGCTACTTGGAAGGTTGAGGTGGAAGGATTGCCGGAGCCTAAGAGGTCAACACTGGGGTGGTCTGGATGACTGAGACTCCAACTCAAAAAAAAAAAAAAATATATATATATATATATATATATATTTTTCTTATCTAATTAGGAACAAATATATTCATCTGCAAGGGCAAGAACAACAAATCTGCTGTTTTAGGGCACTAGCAGGTACTCATAGCAGCTAGAGGAAGAAAAGCAGCACAGAAACAGGAGAAGAGGCAGGAATACCTGGTAGGCCCAACTATAGGGAGAAGAGATAAAGTAGCACTTGTGATAACCACACCTTCAAACTCAAGGACACAGTGCCCTCACCAACAGCTAAACTCACATTTTCTCAAATGCACATGGAACATTCATCAAAAATAGAATGCATTCTTGGCTGTTAGACAAATCTTCACAAATACAGAAAAGAAATCATACAAAAGATGTTCTTGAGCTACAGAGAAATTATACTAGAAATTAATAAACACTTTTTTACTTGGAGAAATACAATATATTTATAAATGATATTCTTCCAATTTACCCACGGTTCAAAGAAGAAGGTTCAAGTAAGATATTTTGAGGTATATGAAAACAACACAAAAATACAGAAATTTGTGAATGCAACTAAAACAGTGCTCAGACATAAATATGTGGTTTAAAATTTTATATTTGAAAAGAGAGAGATCTCTGGATACTTAAGTTCCCACTTTAAGAAACTAGAAAAGAGAGACAATTAAATCTAAAGAAAGTAACTGAAGAAAAACAGTAAAGATTAGACAATAAAACTGAAAACAGGAAACAGCACAGAAAATCAAATCAAAGCTTAGTTATTTAAAAAGATTTTTTGTCAATGATAAGCAGAAAAAAAAATCACAAATTTTCAATATCAGAAATGCAAGAGGGGAAATTACTGACACAACAGACATTCAACAGATAATAAAACAACATGGGTGACTATAACAAATTAAGTTGGCTTAAAGAACAAATATTTATTTTTCTCAGTTCTAGAGGCTGGAAGTCTCAGAATTGGGTGCCAACACAGTTGCATTCTTGTGAGTGACCTCTTTGGGTTATGGACTATTCTTGTAACAGACTCACATAGTAGAAAGTAAGCTAGCTAGCTGTGGTATCTTCTAGTGAGGGCATTTTAATCTTTTTTTTTTTTTAACCAGAAAAGCAAATAACTGTATTTGAACACTCTAGAAAGAAGCAGTACGAGAATATGGACAGTAACCAGAGGGAGTTTTTTGGATTCTTAGAACTTTATTCCTTTGTTTTAGAACACTGATATCATATTTGGTTCAGTAATTCAAATCCTTAAATGCTTTCTTTTACCTTCTCTTAGGCTAGACTTTTATGTACTTATTATCTGAATTCAAACCTGAATGATAACAGAACATAAAATCTAAATTATTTTACTTTTATTGACTAACAACTTCACCATTCTTTTATAAATTTTTTTCTAAGTTTTGTATTTAGAGATAGCTATTTAGCCAGTCAATATGCTCTAATCATTTACATATAGTGACTGGGAGATATGCTTGATCTAAATTATGTCAATCTTTATGTAATGCCATTTGCTTTATGGCTTCACAACAAAAACATTCAATAAGTGAATGTCACTTCTAATAATTAAGATGATTTTACTTTTTCTTTTATGAATTACATTAAAACTATAACTTTTTTAAATTTCTGGAATCATTAGTATAGACAAAGGCTAAGATGCTTATGAAAAGATGTTTGACATCATTAGTGACAAACTGTTATGGACTGTGTCCCATCCCCAAATTCATATGTCCAAGAACTAACCACAAGTAACACTGTATTTAGAGATAAGGCCTTTAGGAGGTAATCCAGGTTAAAATGAGGCCATAAGGATGAAGCCTTAATCCAGTAGCACTGGTGTCCTTACAAGAAAGGGAAAACCACCAGGGTGCTCTCTCTCTCCCCCAGTGGCTACGCACAGAGGAAAGGTCATGTGAGAACACACCAAGAAGGGTGGCCTTATGCAAGCCAGGAAAGAGAGGCCTCACCAGAAACCAACTTATTGGGAACCTGATCTTGGACTTTCAGCCCCCAGAATGAGAGAATTTCTGTTGTTTAATCCACTCAGTCTGTGGCATTTTATTATGACAGCCCTAGCTGCCTAATAAACAAATCAAAATCACAAGGAAATGCCACTTCACATTCACCAGGATGGCTGGAATCAAACAAATGTTGGTAAGAATATGGAAAAATCAGAATCCCTATGGGCTGTTGTTAGGAATGGAAAATGGTGATGTCACTTAGAAAAACAGCCTGGCAGTTCCCTAATCAGATAAACACAGAGGTACCACACGACCCAGAATTTCATGCCTAGGCATAAAAACATATGTCCATGCAAACACTTGTAAATGAATGTTTATATCAGCATTATCCATAATAGCCAAAAGGTGGTAGTCCAAGTATCTACTGACTGATAAATGAAAACACAGGCAGTATATCCAAACAATGAAATAGGATCTGGTCATAAAAAGGATGAAACACTGACATATGCTATAACATGAACCTTTTAAACATTAAGTTAAGCAAAAGAAGCCAATCACAAATGACCACATGCTATATAATTCCATTTTTACAAAATGTCCAGAATAGGCAGATCTGCAGAGACACAAGTAGATTAATGTCTACTTAGAGATGGAGGAGTCAGGGATATAGAAGAGTGACAACTAAAGGGTACAGATTTCTTTTGGAGGTGATGACGTTTGTACATCCCATGGAGGATTGGCTCTACGACTCCTATGAATACCAAACTCTATGGATGCCCAAGTTCTTGATATAAAATGGCACAGTATTTACATATAACCTATGCACATCCTCTGGTATATTTTAAATCATCTCTATATTACTTATACTAGCCTCATAAAACAGAGACAGTAGACAGTTGTATACTATGTTGTTTAGGGAATGATGACAAAAAAGGCTGCTCATTTTCAGTAGAGAAGCATTTTTAAAAATAGTTTCAATCTATAATTGCTGGAATCCACGGAAGCAGAACCCATGGATACAGAGGGCAGACTGTATCTATAAACACATTAAAAGTCATTGAACTATACACTTTGAATGAATTGTATGAGAAGTTATTATATCTCAATAAAGCTGTTACACCCCCCCAAAAAAAAAACTTTTCAAGGTGTTCTTCCACTAAGATCTATCTACCCCAAGTCTCCTTCTGTCAACACTCACTCACCTGGGTACTTCCGGTTTAGGAATTTGACTTCTAGCGGCCATGGTTCTTCTCCTTGCTCCAACTTGAGGATAACCTTGGGTTTGGTAATGCAACACCCTGTAATGAAATAATTGAGGATATAAATGGACCAGATCCATGAGCACTTGGATGGAAAAAGATGCAGCTATAAAAGCATTAACTGAGAATATTCATCTGATATTTTTGAAGGGAAGATAATGACAAAAACTTTTTGTTTCTGTAAAGGCTTCAATTATGAAGCCTTTATCTCTATAAAGAATCTATGTGTCTTGATAATTTTTTTTTAAAAAAGCAAACATGCTACAGAAGGAGTCCCGTGGCAGGTCTGCTCACCCACTGTGACAAGGTGGCCATAGTTCTCCAGCATCATGTCCCTGTATAGGCTCCGCTCCCTGGGGCCCATCTGCTGCCACTCCTCCTGGGTGAGTTCCACAGTCACATCCTCGAATGACATGGATCCCTTCAGCAACATATTTTGTTCAAGATTTTGAATTAGGTGACACAGAAAATACCTAAGAATTTTTCCTGTTTACTCTTGAGGCTCAAAAACAGTTGGTATAGAGGCTTGTTTTGGACCAAATTTCATCTTAAAACTTGTTACTCGGCTACTTTAAAATGTTTCTAATTTACCATACAGCATCTATATACACTTATAAATTCCAGATGTCTTTAAGATGGAAAAATTCGATGTAATTAAACCTTCTACAACTCTTCTTGCACATTCCCGGGATGATTGTATTCTCTAGGAAATTCATACCCTCCTTGAACATCATCCCTGTAAATAATGGGAGCCAAGGAAGAAATACATGAGAGTGCTACAGAGATATCTGACCAAACTTATTTATAAGTAAATATATAAAAATAGAGAAATCTAGAGTTCATGAAGAACAAGGAATAGCTTACAAAGAAGTTGGAACCAATGAGACCATACTAAGAAAACACTATGTACACTGAAGTAACAGCAATCGACATAAGAATAGGATATAATCACAGAGCAGAAGCAGCAACCATCTGATGATTATTGCTTGAGGTAGCAACCTAGTCTAGCTGTGTGAGAAGCCGCTCTGTCTTTTTGTTTTATTTTGTTTCTAATTGACAGAAAGAGAAATCTTTCAAATAATATCTCACTTATCCACGGAATCTAAGACAGTAAAATGCATAGAAGTAAAGAAAGAATAGAATTGTGGTTACCTGAGTCTGGAAATGAGGGGGAGAGGAACAGGAGATGTTGGTCAAAGGATACAAAGTTTCCATCAGACAAGAGGAACAAGTTTTCAAGATACTGTATAGCATGGTGACTCTAGTTAATGATAATATAATATATGTTTCAAAATAATCAGCTTCTTGATGGTGTCAAAAACTGACAATTGAGAAACAAAAGGAAAAACATGTGCGACGTTTGAGTGAGAGATCTGTTCAGGTTGCTACAAAGGGGTGTGTGAGACATAAAGCTGGAACTGCCCTTCAAACCAATATACACGATTTCAGAGCACAGAAGGCAAGTCTAGGATGAAGACAAACACTTAGGAGTCATTAGCACTCTAGCTGGTAACTGAAATTATTAGAGACAATCAGACAGCTACTTGAGCACTTTGGGATTAAGGAAAAAGTACCAAAACAAAAACACTTGAGGATCACATATATTAAAGAGACTGGCAGAAGATGTACAGGCAACTAGTCAGAGAAGAAGGTTTCTGAAACATAGTAATAGAATCCAGAGGATAAAGTCTTAGAAACTAAGAAAAGGGAAAGTTTCTATACAAAAAGACTTCAAATTCAAGTTAACAAGTGATGTCAGCAAAAATACTGAAGTTGAGAAAATTCTCTCTTCCATAAAAGTAATGAGAAAATGGCAGCAATTACAGAATCAACTTTTTCTGCAAGCTAATCAAAGGCTTCAAGCAATCTATAAAAAAAATATTTATACCAAAAAAAATTATATATTATGCCTGTAATCCCAGAGGACATCCTGAGCCCAGGGGTTCAAGAACAGTCTGGGCAACTTGGGAAAACCTCGTCTTACTATAAACCAAAAAATTAGCTGGGTGTGGTGACATACACATGTAGTTTCAGCTACTAGGAAGGCAAAGATGGAAGGATCACCTGAGCCCAGCAGGTTGAGGCTGCAGTAGCCGTATCACTCCAGCATGGATGACACAGTGAGACTTCAATTGAAAAAAAAATTTTTAAATGTTTTTAAAAAGGCTACAACATAGGGAGAACCATAGTTCTGCATCATCATAACTTGTCCTATTTTCATCCAGCACTCTCTAGTTCCACATTAGCTTTGAGAACCAATCATCTGAGATAAGAGCAAAAACCAGCAGCCTGGCAACCACTGGAGGAGGCAGAAGTTGGTTTGAGTTGTCAAAGGCTTGTTCCCAGAAAACTGTCTTTGCTTGACTTAATAGGATGGTTCCCTTGAAGACCTCACTTGCAAGGCTGATTACTGAACTGACTCAGAGTTTTCACCCAGGATGAAAAACCTGTGTTCCAAGGCATTAGTCAAAAACATACAAAGGCAACTTTAACTTACCTGCTACCTGGGGTGGTGGATAAACAGTTGGGATAAGTAATCACCTAATAAAAAGCTTAAAAACTTATTTAAAGGACAAGCTGGAGGATGAAATGTCCATAAAGGTTTTGAAAAACTCTGCTATATTCCTGAGAATTGAGAAGCCCACCTACATGCACTGAGCTGAGAATATGCCCAGGACTGTGATATGCTCAGGAAGGACATGAGAAGGCTATAAGCTGTCACTTCTGAGTGACCTTAAGGTTTGGAGAAAGCAGGAAGTGAAGACTAATACAGAGTAGTAAATGGCCTGGATGACTGTGGAAGAAATGCCACAGCACTCACAAGGCCCCTGCTAAAGACTGAGATACTTGCTTGGTTTCAGGCATTTAAGGAAATTTCTGCAGAGACTTCAGCTGCGACACACAACAAATACAGGCACTACTGAATTTGTTTTAAAAAGTGACTGGACAAGCCAGGTACAGTGGTTCATGCCTATAATCCCAGCACTTTGGTAGGCAGAGGGAAGAGGATTGCCTGAGCCCAGGGGTTCAAGACCAGCCTGGACAACATAGTAAGACCTTGTTTATACAATAAATCAAAAAATAAGCCAGGCATGGTGGCATGTACCTGTGGTGCCAGCTACTTGGAAGGCTGCAGCGGAAGGATTGCCTGAGCCCAGCAGATGGAGACTGCGGTGGCAGTGAACATGCCACCTCACTCCAGCCTGGCTGACAGAATGAGACTCCAACTCAAAAAAAAAAAAAAACTCATTGGACAAATTTCAACAACCCCTGGGAGGAGAGAAATTCTTCTAGAGTTGCTATATTTTATTAAAATGTCCTGTTTTCAACAACAAAAATTATAAAACAAGGCCAGACACAGTGGCTCAACCTGTAATCCCAGCACTTTGGGAGACCGAGGCTAGAGAATTGTCTGAGTCCAGGGATTCGAGACCAGCCTAGGCAACTTGGCGAGACCTCGTCTCTATAATAAGTCACAAAAACTAGGTTGGTGTGTTGTGTGCATCTGTATTTACAGCTACTTGGAAGGCTGAAGTGGAAGGACTGCTTGAGCCCAGCAGGTCGAGGCTGCAGTGGCCATGAGCATGCCACTACACTCCAGTCTGGGTGGCAAAAAGTGAGACTCCAACTTAAAAAAAAAAATTACAAAGCAAGAAGAAGAAAAAAAGTAAGACCCATATGCAGGAAAAAAGTAATCAACAGAAATTGCTCCTGAGGAAGCAGATATTGGACTTAACTAGACAATGACTTTATATCAGTTATTTTAAATATGGTTAAGGGCTTAAAGGAAATGATTTCTAAGGACTGAAGGGAAGTATGTCACCAAATAAAGACATAAAAGAATCAGAAATTATAAAAAAGGACCAAACAGAAACTCTAAAATTAAAGAGTACAATAACTAAAATGAACATTTCACCAAAAAAGTCCATTTAACAGCGGAGCTGTATAGGTGGAAAAAAGAGTGAAGCAACTAAGATAACATGTCCATTGAGACTGTGCAGTGAGAAACAGAAAGAAAAAAGTAATAACAAAAACATGAACCATAGGACAACATCAAGCTTACCAACATATGCATAATGAGAGTACAGGGCAGAGAAGGGAGACATAAAGGGTCTAACACAATTTTAAAAGTAACAGTGGCCAAGAGGTTCCAAAATGTGAAGGACATGATTAATCTACACACTCCAAACCTCAACTACAAGTAAGATAATCTTGGAGAAAGAAATCCACATCTGGATAGAATATAATCAAAGTTTTAAAACAGGCAAAGACAGAGATAATCCTGAAAGCCACAAGGGAGACGGCAGCAGGGAAAGGACAGGCCAATGGAAAATATCACTCACAGAGAAACATTCCAGGACAGAGTGAGAAGCAGAGGCATGTGGTGAAGAAAAGGCAAGTAAGGAAAGGATAAGACAATGGCCACCGGATTTGATTACAATCCAGTAGGGTCACTGAAAGCCACAGGCAAGTGGGAAGAAAAACCAAGGTGTCACACAGACATTTGAAGTTGAATGCAAACTGTGGAGACATCAGAAAAAGAACAGAATTTTTAAAAATCTGCTAAACAACCCAAATATCATGGATACTCAGAATGTTTAAGGAGTGTGATTTTTAAAGACATTCAGTTGATTCATAGCTAAAATGTCTAATTTAACCCAGTGTTTGAATTCTTGAGAAGTGAGTGAGTGAGTAACAAGTGAGTTATTGCTCAACATTCTATGCTATATAATGAGTTATCACTAAATCACCTCCTTGTAGAACAACAATTACATCAGGTTATCTTCATCTTTATATTTCATGAGGAATCAGTTTGCTTTGTCTTTCTCATCAATGAAAACCATTACGTAATGTCTGACCCTCTGCCAAAGTAATTAAAACCACAGAAATAAATGTGGAGCTCAATTTGGTAAATGTGTACCAGCAGAGGACCTGCATCTATCTACACACATGCCATCCTTATTCTTCTAGTCTTCTGTATTTCTGTATCTTCTATGAATGTGTCTGATCCATTTAGGTCTCTACTTTTTCATATTAAAACACAGATACATAAACCCTTACAAAATCTTTAAAAAGCCCTTAAAAAAGTTTGTAAAATAAACTGATTATTCAGAACCAAACTCACCTGAGCTATGTTCATTTTCTGCTGCTCCTTGAAGAGAGTAGAGTCCCGTGAAGGTTCACCTGGAGAGAAGGAAAGAACAAGGGGGTCATGAGAGACTTGGTCTGCCTTATAGTTCGTTTAGAGCAGCTCTCAATTATGACATTTACAATGGTTTTACTCGTACATAATCCCAACATTATCAACACGTGTCTGCATTCACCTGCCTAAAATTCTCATCACACCCAAATGGAGAAAAGGTTTCCCAATGGGGAATGTCACTTTGACTCTTGAAAAGGGACAAAAGGACCACACAAAGGTACCAGCACTTGAATGCATTCATGTCTGATATTAAGTCCACTTAACCCTCCATTTTTCACTGGGTGTGGTAAAAACTATTTTGTTAATTTAGTAACAATTTATGTTCCTTGTGACTACCTGACAAAATTGTAACAATAATACAACAGAAGATTAACTTAACATGTTCAGGTACACAGAGGTGAAACCTAATATACCCACAAAAAACAACTCCGGTGGGATTAGTAAGCAGATTCTTACTGTCTTTACATTCTGAGTTAGAGCTTCCACAGAAAACTCTAAAACAAAGATGAAATGTTGTATACAAGGAATATGTTTTTCAACTTTTTGCTCAATAATGGTTGCTGGTTCTTAAAAAAGACCTTTTGACAAGATGCTTATGACACTCACCTGTGTGTGAACAGCACCGTGTTTAGTTCCTGGGTCTGCCCTGGGTGACTATACACAAGTCATTAATTTCAGGCCCCATAAGAGGAGGAACCCCAAGCCCCAGAATTTATTTATTAAAAAAGGTGTACTTATTCTTACATGTTCAAACTTCAGTCACCCTCAAAGCACTCTTTATTGATGCAAGAAACCTATCGAAACACTTTTGTCCACTGCTCAAAACAGTTTCTAGACTCATCAATTTTGGTGCCTTTTAGTGCTTCTGCTGTTTTTTGTTGAACTTCTTCCACACCCACAAGATGTTTCCCTTTGAAGCCTTTTTCCCAGAGAAACAGAAAAAAGTCACTCTGGGTGAGATCAGGTGAATAGGGAGGGTAGGGTATGGAGGTCATGTAATTTTTGGTCAAAAACTGATGAACACTCAAGGCATTGTGGGCAAGTTCACTCATAAGCCACCATAATGAAATGGGCAAATGTGTTGAGTCTCAAAAAAAAAAAAATTATAATAAATGAAGCCAAACACAGCCTCTCACAACAATGCTAGCTGGTACACTGATGCTGGTGGGTTCCTAGAACACTTACCTAGTGGGAAAAGCCTGTACTACAAGGGGTCTGCCCTCCAAAAGATAACTGATTTTTTGGGGGGGGTCCTCCTCATATTTTGGGGTTTCCAGCATAGGAAACTCCCTCCCTCTAGTATCATTTTGTTATTATCTATGTTCAACAAAGTAGGAGTGTCAGTATAACTCTAAATGCCACATGTAGTAATGAACGTGGTGTGACAGCTACTCAAAGTGCAGAAAAAATAATGGGAAAATGAAGGAAAGGGGGTGTCATTTAGGATTTTGTTAGCTGACTACATCTTCTCTGGATACCATGGCCTCACCAACCCTCTCGTAAAGTACCTTTTTCTCCTCAGCTTGAAACTCAACCCTCTCATCCCCAGGTCACCATGTTCTGCAAGTTAGTGTACATTATCCCTGGTGACACAGTCTGTAATAGCGCCTGAATGTGGTAACATTTTAAGTCTTACTCATGCTACGCAGGGAACCAAGCACTGCCACAGGTGAAGCAAATCAGAACCTGCGCCTTTCTAGAATCTTCTGCCTCTGCCCTGAAGCTCTGGAACAGGTCTCTGTCAAACGGGTCGTTCTCAGTGGCAGGACCTGGCATGGACTCCGTCCTTCCAGCCTCTTGTCACAGTTGCTTTCTTTCAGAAGGGCTGGGACTTGGGCCTGAAAAACAAATTCACTTTACCTGAAACTTTCATCTTACATCTAGCACCCTAAGCCTGACTCTTTTGGAATTCACCAGAAACGTGCTATCCAATACTGTAGCCATTAGCTGCATGCAACCACTAAACACCTTGAGTGTGGCCAGTGCCATGAGTCAAGATAACATTTTGAATGCAACGACTCCAGGAAAACACATCAACAAAACTGGCTCTGCCTGCCTCTTTTGATTGTAGCTGCTGAAAAATTCCAAATGAGGCTTGTGTTTTTCATCGACTTTCTACTGGACATCACTGTTCCCAAATAGGAATCTGTGTCCTTGAGGGGAGAGGCAGCCTCAACCGTGCTGGAGGGTCCAGGAGACTCAGTCCAAACCATGGAACTGCAGACTGCACAAATCTCAGGATAGAGTTACCACTTGGTGAGATCTGTCCACGTTCACTTCACAGTCACGTAGGGAGAGCTGAGCACTGACCCCTCTGAAAAAGTGCTCCCAAGGTTTCAGGCAGGTACTGGCAG